AATTATTGAAAATAATATGACTGATAAAAATGTAATTAAACATCTCAAACGTTATATTAAATGTGTTGATGAATTCTTCATACAAATTGAAAATCAAGAAGAAACTTCCCAATATGAAGGATTATTTTATTTGGATAAATTAGAAGGACAAGAACCTCTGAAAATCAACGAAAATTACAAAATCTTTTTGCGATCCTTTATGCTTACTAGACCTTTGTATATAGCAGAAATAATTTACGAATCTATTCAAAAGTTGGACATACAAATATTTTTGGGGATTGTGGGCACACAAAAAAGGGAGGAATTGAAATTGGCAATGAAAATAATGAAGTTATTAAATCCTGCTTCCGTATCTGGATTTAAAAGAGTTGTTAAGGAGCAAAATATTTTTGATTCAGTAAAGCTGAATTGGTTGTTGAATTGGTATTTTAATCCGGAATGCTACAAGAAGCCAGTAATTAGTAGCCAGGTATTTAGAACAAAAACATACGTGGAATCTCTAAATGACAACGCGCGATACCAAATCTCATGTCCTCCCAATATTAATACAATAGTAAAGCTTGTGCTGGGCCAGGATGGTGTTGGGATGTTGGGCGGGTTGCGTGCGATGTTAAGGGTCCCGAGAGGCGATGCCGGTGAGTATTAGCAGAGCGGAGGGTAGGCCTTTCTATGCGTCCGGTGCTGCTGGTCGATTACGAGATCGACTTGCCCGGGAATAATATGCGCTTGCAAGGAATTAATAATATAAGCTCTTAGCTTCTTCGGCCGGTTATTCTTTCTTTACATTGATTGCTTTCCAACTAACTGGTAAAACAGTCGACTGATCCGCTTTTTACTATTTTCCACTTAGTTTTATCCTACGGCCTTATTTGTCATTCTCCTCCCCTTATTCAATCCTTTCCCACAGGAACTAAAGTTCCTTTTCTCCATCCTTGCCCATCCGGATCAAAGTACGCCTTACACAATTAATTTACGAGTTGTGGGTTTGGCCTGATTTGGTCCTACGTGAATTTCCTTCGAACGTCAAAAGTTCGACCTGCTAGATGTCGTTATATTGAGATTCCACTTTATCTACTTTTACAAAATAATTTAATATTTTAGACAAACGATAGTATCAACTTCACTGATTGGCATCCATTTTTTGAATATAATGCCTATTCAAAGAATGATTCGAGTCTTGATTACTACATTGAACTTATTGAAAATGAAGAAAAAATACGTGATTTCTTTATTTCCCAGTTAAAAAGTTCTTTAAATAATCTGGATTTAAATCTTTTAATCAAAACAATAATACTTTCATATAGAGTTGGAGAGGAGCAATTAACAGATTTAATGGGGGAAGAGGAAAAGATTGAATTAGAGGAAAAGATTGACAATATTTATTTTGATCAAATTGACTGGATTAATAATGCCTTTAGAAATTCAATTAAATGTTTGATAAATCTGGGTAGGTTATATCCATGTTAAAGCTAAAATTAGAGGCTATGTTCTTTTCTCCTTACATCTAGGTTTATTGAAATGGGAAGAGAGAGGATTGCTGACCTGAGAAGACAACCTCCTAGCAGTTGTTGCTAGGCATAACCACGATGCTCTACTGACAGAGTTACAGGGGCGATACTTTTTAGACCTTCGCTACTAAAGTTCTAAATATATCGATAAATCCCTGAAAATAGGATAATTTAGGTACTTCATGATATTGAATAGCAGCATCGTAGAATGAGCCCAGACAAAAGTCATTACCGTATGTGCCACTATGCATCCATATACTTTTGAATACAACAATCCCTAAAAACTAAATATTTTTCTTAATTTTACAGAAAATTCTTCACAAACACAATCTTATGATAACTTTGTATCAAATTTTGGAACAGAAATAAAAATATTTATAAATCTTTTAACAAATAAAGAACGTCGGTACGAGATTGATGTTTCTGTTGATTCTGAAAATGATAATAGATTGTTACTCGAAGTTGGCTTTGATGGGTTAAAGAATGATCAAGATATAGTCCCTAAGTCGCATTTCTTGTCTCAAATGTTAAAGAAGCTCAGTCAAAATATTCTTGGCCGTTTGGATTCTGTTTTTCGTGAAATGTGAATTTAATATATGTATAATATTTTAGAGTGGAGATTTATTGAGACTTATAGACTGAAAATTTCTAGGAACCTAAACCAGGATTGCACCTTACGACAAAGATAAGAAACCCAAGAAATTTTGATTTCAAAACCAAAAGTCTTGGACTCTCTAGAAATTACGCAAAGTTAGCTTATTGGGGGAATATGATAGTTTATCTATTGAAATTTCAAGGGTAATTAAATACATTAATTCATGTTTTAAATTAAAGGTTGAAAAATGGACATCAGTATGACCATGATATATTAAATGAATGTTTTTCACATTTTGTAAAAGCAAATTATTATGCATTGGCATTAGTAATGAAAGAAATTGTTGTGATACAGGGAAATGAAAATTTTGTTGATTCAGGAAAATTATTTGAATTAGAAATTGATAACGAAGAATTTGAGAAAGTTGAAGGTTTAAATAAAAGATTTTTTAAAATAGAAGAATTATTAGAAAGTTTAACTGAAAAATTATTTGTGGAGTTTGATGGAAGAATTTTGGGACAAATTGGATATAATGATAAAAATGAATTTATTGAGAATTTGAAAAATGAAATGATTATTTTTATTAAGGATTATGACATGCAAAGTAAAAAAAAATTTTTTTAATATGTTTTTAAAAGTCTTCGACGTCTTATTTTGCATACAATAACTAAGTTCTTCGATATTATTATTACAAAGTTGGGTTATGGTTCCAAGACATTTCTTCATGTTCGGGACCTACGCCAACTTTTTAAATTTTATTGTGTCATAATCAGTGCTTCGAAGCTCGTACCAAAATTCGTACTCGTACCTCGTACTCGTACTCGTACCTGGTACGAAGTACGAGTACGAGTACGAGCAAAAAAATAGGGCAGGTACGAAGTACGAGTACGAGGCCAAAAAAAGTGAAAAGTACGAGGTACGAGGCCTAAGTACGAGCTCGTACTTCTCGTACTTGGTGTTAATAGTAAAATTGAAAGAAATATGTTTAATTCCTTTCATTCGCCATTATAGGAGCGAGTGGCCGAGTGGTTAAGGTGCTCCAAAGTCTGTATTGATTTTAGGAGCGAGTGGCCGAGTGGTTAAGGCTGCACCAAAGTCTGTATTGATTTAATATTGGGCTCGATTCCGACTCACGGGCCAATTCGACTCACGGCTCGATTCCGACTCACGGGCCAAATAATTTTAATATTTTTTTCATAAATAACTTATTCATAAGTTTATAATTGTGTTTTAAAAATTATTCTATTTTTACATGGTGTAATTATGAGATTTTGACCCTCTAAAATTCTTAAAATATTTTTAATTTGAACACTAAAAAATGAATTTTTTTACCTACGGCCTTCGGAAATTTTCAAAATTTTCGCCTGCGGCGCTGAAAAAATAAGATAGTCGGCTTATTGGCTTCCAAATTCTAAAATTTTCGCCTTCGGGGGTTAAAAATGGAAGAAATCTTGCTTCATAGCCTTCAAAATTTTTCAAAATTTTCGCCTGCGGCGCAAAAAATAGAAGAAATCTGACTTAAGGACACCCAAAATTTGCTAAATTTTTGAAAAAAAGGGCTTTGAGATTAAGAGGGATATCAGGAGATTAAAATTTGAAAAGTTCGGCGGAAAAGATAAAAAGTTCCATGTAAGAAGATGGAAAATGTATGAAAAAATGTGAGTTTCGGGTAGCTTGAACCATCATGGAAGAAATATTTCTCCTTGCACTCCAAAAAACTCAAAAATTTCGTCTGCGGCGTAGAAAATGGATGAAATTGGAGGATTTATAGCTTCAAAGCCTTCCAAGATTCTCTAATTATCACATACAACGCTTAAAATTTAAAAATAGATGACCTGGGCTCCAAAAAATCATAAAAATTTTAGATTTTTTCCTTTTTTCTCAAGTACGAGTAAGTACGAGTTACGAGGTACGAGGTCAAAAATAGGGGTGGTACGAGGTACGAGTACGAGTACGAGCAAAAAATAGGGGTGGTACGAGGTACGAGTACGAGGCCAAAAAAGAGGTGGTACGATTTGGTCACTTTACCTTTAGCTTTTACGTCAAATTATTTAGTCCGAGAATTAAAATAAAATAAATTAATTTAAAGACAATTCCAATTTCAAATTTATATTTGAACAAATTGATTTCCAAACTACACCAATCTACACTTCCAACAATTCCAAACAAATTAACCAAAAAGAATTGAGCTTTTTTAAAAGTTTAATAAATTCAATTGAAAAGAAGGCTAACAAAAGTAAAAATAAAATATTCAAAAAAAGTTGGAAATTATTTAATCCTTTATTTAATGAAATTATTAATTTAATGTTTGAAATAACGACAGTTATAAATCAAAATAATGAAGAAAATAAAAATAAAATATTTATTCCAATTTATTTTTACGGAAGGAAACATGCAAAAGGATTTCTAGCTAAATTAGCAAGAATTCTAAGAAATTGGCATAATCAAAAATTAAATCCAGAAGATATTAAAAACGAATTTAAAGGCATATTTAATTTAATAAATAAATTTATTAAAATAATTAAATGGGGGAAAGGAGGAAATAATAGAGAAATTATGATACAAAAAATAATTATCGAGAGTGGAGAAATAAATGATTCTGGAGAAATTTTAAATTTGATAAATATAAATTTAGAAGAAGCAAAACAAGCTGTATTGTCAGAAAATTTGGAAGAAATTATTTCAAATTTTAACAACCATTTAAACAATGTAGTGTGGTCAGATTTTAATGTGGTAAGTTGAAAATAGGAGTTTTTGATAAATTATGAGACACGGGGAGTCCATATTTCTTGTCCCTGTAAATTTAGTTACACTCTATTTTACGTACATAATTTTCTTTGTTAACCACCGCATGATGGAAGCTATCTAGGCACTCCAGTATAAAGTAATTTTATCTATCTCCATGTGTATGAGGGAACGAGCTGATCGGACGGAGTATCTTTGGTGGTACGTTCAATTGAAATAAATCAAAATCCGACTTTAGGGGTAAAAAAATAATGAGTAAAAAGTCCTCCCTTTTAGAAAATACATCCACAAACAATAAATAACCAAATAAAAATCAGAAAATATTAATAAAATAATTTATTAATATTATTTTATTAAAATTAGTTTATCTTAATTTATTTTTAAATATGTATGTAAAAGGATAAATTTTATAAATTTTACTAAATTTTATAGAGCAATACGAATCAAAATATAAATATGCTTCGTCGTAAAAAGCGTTCACCACGAAGTAATAGAAGATTAGCAAGAGCAATAATGAAAGCTTTATTTACTGATGAGACAATAAAAAAATTGGATATTTTAATTGGTTATTTAGTAGTTGGATTTTCTTATCTCATGTTTATTGCCATCCCTATATTTGCTTACATATATGAAATTCACTGCGCTGTTCCTGAATTCACTTGGTTTAGAAATCGTTGGCCATTTGGAGGACAAGGACAGAATAATGGAGGAAATAATGGTGGAGGTGGAAATAATGGTGGAGGTGGAAATAATGGGGGAGGTGGAAATAATGGAGGAAATCAATTCGGTCAACCAATACAACCACAAATACAGCAACCACAAATGCACCCACAAATACAGCCACAAGAAATTCGCCCACAAATACGACCTCAAAACATGATTCCCCAACCTCACCCACACCATAACTTGCCTCAACCTCGTTCACAAATACCATGGTTTCAACACCGACCACAACAACAAGCTTCTTCATTTGCCGATATTAGTTATACTAATATGCCGTCTTCTTCTGATCCACTGTCTTTCTATAATCGAAGCTACAATCCACGAGCAGGACATCCATCTGGCTTTCAGCCATATATACTAGACGATTCTGATGATGAAAGTATTATTTCTGATGGACATTCACCATCCCCAGAATATTCTTTCCAAGATCGTAAACGTCGTTCTGTTTCTTTAATGAACCAGAATCGTAAAGGAAACAAGAAAAATGGAGAAATTATTATTTCTGATATTTCAAACAAGGATGCTAGTAAAAATCGAGGTACAAAGTTAAAAAAGAGTGCCAAGAAAATCACAAAGGACAAAACAGAACAACAAAAATTGGATAAAAAATTTGAAGGTTTTATGATTAAAATTTTGAAAGTTATTACAAATTATCAAAATTATTAGGGGCTGTTTTTGGTCCACTTTGATAAAGTCTAGAAAAATATGAGAATGATATTTGAGAACACCTTAAGAAAAAACTGTATTTTCTCTAAATAATTCTAAAGTAAAATGAGTTTACCAAAAGTTTAGCCACTGATATATATTATATGGAACCTAAGTTTAGCCATTGACCCTGATTATATGGAAACTATAATCAGGGTCCCGATCGGGCGGGATTATCCCGGTTATTTTGAACCCTGATCCATTTTTATGATCCCGAAACCGAAAGATAAATCCCGATTTCATGTCGAAATCCCGATACCGCCCAACTCTACCTACATATAATAACTTAACGAAATTTGTTCACTCGTTTTCGAGAAGTTGGTCACCGCAAGATTTTGGTCTCCAAGTACAAACAATTTAATAAAAAAATTAGCGACTATTTTAAAATAAAACATATATGTATTATACATATAGAAAATCTTTTCTTAGAATAATAAAAAGATCAATTTTTAAGTAGGAACAGGATCATGTTCATCGACACTTGATGGAAATTTTTTGAATTTTTTGACTTTTGGTGAAGACACTAAAAAGAAAAATCCTTCCTTTCCTTTAATTTCTCCAAAAAATTTTGAGAAGGGAAATCGCAAAAAGAGAGATATTCTTGAAGCTCTTCGTCAAGCATGGATTAATTGTGGTCAATGGTTGGGAAATATTTTTGCTTTGATCAACCTTATAGCATATTTCGGTATATTTATTTATCTTTGTTATATTCTCTAAAATACTCTCCTCTATCTTTTATTTTTCTTTTGATTGTATTTCTTTTTATATTTAAAATGGGATTTAGTAAGAGTTTTTTTTTCGGACTTGGTTTCGTATCGAAAAAATCGGGGTTTCGGGGGGTCGGTCAGTACAGAGGTTAAAAGGGGCATAGACGATTTAGGGGAAGTAGGATATCAAGAGATTCAAATAGGATATCAAGTGATTCTAGGATATCAAGGGATTTAAATAGGTAATTTTGAGAAGATCGAGGGATTGTGAGAGTTTAAGAGTGATATTGAAATTATTTTCAACGACTTGTGATGTATAAATCCTCAAATAAATGGTTAAATTGTGGAGAAAATTATTTTTAGTTAAAACAGGGAAATCTCTGCATAATAACAAGTGTTTTAGTCAGATTTGACTCCAGATTAGGTTTTTATAACTCATGACTCGTCCACTAATCAAAGGATAAGACATTTTTCTTTCTACCGTCAAAAGTTTGGGCTCTAGAGTTGTTGTTATATCGAGATTTCACTGTAACGGTAAATTTAATTTCGTAAAAAATAAATTTAAAACAGGGAAGTATGCCATTATATGAGGATTTAAATTATTTTTATGTAACTATATTTTTTTATTTTCTAATTTCTTAAGCTCATTTTAATGTTTTAGTCGTGTTTTAGGAAAAATTATTAGTCTATAGCACAGTCAACCGATACATTTTTTTTATTTTTTATTACTTCAAAAACTCTAATAGAAGCTATGCTTCCATTTTTCAATCTTTTTATGTGGGTTTAACTTAAACATTTTCTGAAATTGGATGTTTTCGGTATCGGGATTGATAACGGCTCGGTATTTTTTATTTTTAAAAACCATTGTTTTGAGTAGAGTTGAGCGTTATCGTTATTCCGAGAAAAAATCGCTATCGGTATTTTGGAATGATGAGCTTTATCGGGATTGGCCAAAATCGGTATCTGCACTCCCAATCTTTTGCTAATACCGCAATCCCGATACCGATCGGTATCGGGATTGATAACGACTCGGTACCGGTATCAGAAAAATAGGTATCGGGATTCAAAAAACCGGTATAATACCGCCCGTTACCGGTCGGGATCCGATACCGCTCACCCCTAGTTTTGAGTGTCTGAGGATGTATAGATGCTAAAAATTTATTTTTTATTAACGAATGTTTGTTTATTTTATTTTTAGTAGATAAAATTGGGTTTAGATTTTGTTTTAAATTTTCAACAATTAAAAAATCTGCTCATTATTTTATAGACTTTACAGAGTCATTTCATTTTATAACAAATTCTCATTTCATGACTAATTTAGAAGATTTTTTGTTGGTCATACACTTTCATATAAATTTAAAAAATATATAACTTAGAAAGTCCTTTATTCAAAAAGTTAGAAAATACATTAGTAGACAAAATTTATAATGTATTTATTTATCGTTCTTAAGCCGGCGTTTTTCGAGAATAAATATCTTTACTCTTTTTGTAAGCAAACAGAACATTTCTACCATCCATTTTAAGCATGTCCAACCATATTCGAAACTTGATTCTGATTTGTTTTAAATAACCCGAAAAATTTTCTAAGAAGATTTTTTGTGTCATTCCGAACAGTCTTGTTTAATGTTAAATAAATTACTGGTGGGAAACCTACAAAATTTAAACAAATATTTAAATTTGCGTTTTTAAAAACAAAAAGTTTTATTTAAACATTAACATACCGTGGATATGTAACCTTAAAAAGTAAATTAAAATTATATAAACAAATTTAATTGATAACCAAGAAAAATGTGCAATCATCAATGGAATAATTCCGAGATCTGCATGATTCATATTGTAAGCATAGGTAATACCCTCTGATGTATTTAACAATGAAATGATAAATACTTGGATAAAAACCTTCAAAATTTTAATTTACCGTATATGCTCAAATAATTACCCTGGGTAATTATTGTTTCGATCCCTCGCTGGAGGGGGTAATTAATCGAGAGGATGTGCTAAATTTGGGGTATATCTCAATAAATCAAGGAGGAAATCCATTTATTTTTTGATATTGATTCTTATAATGTTTCAATAATTTAAATTGACAATGATTTATTCAATATTTTTAAAATTAGATAGGGAAAGGGAAGGGGTAATTATTAAAGAGGGTAATTATTTGAGAGAGGGTAATTATTCGAGCATTTACGGTAATTAGAAATTGTTTTTGCCTAATTACAATTATGGAAACCGATAAGAGCAACAAAATAAAATTGTCGGGTAGTTGGAAATTGTCGGATATTCGGATCCGGATATCCGAACAGAAAATTTTGAGTATCCGGCCTTTCTCGGATCCGGATATCCGAATCCAACAACCCTACAACAAAGGCTGTTAAATGAGAGATTATTTAGTTTCGATTGCCTCTTTTTGATTAACTTCTAGAAAAAATCTTCGAGTTAAAAGTTGTATTTTTTTAAAGTACTCTTTAAAATGAGGACGACTATCAATATGTATATCGATAATATTTTTGATTAAATTTTTCTAAAATAGTTTTTGGGGTTATTAAAAGTTTTTTTATTTCGCACCCCAAGAATTTCATAATTTTTGGGGTGTTAAACATCTGTCCTCAATTTTAAGCAATTTTCTTTCAATTTTTAAAAATTTTGATTTTTAATTTGCCAAATTAGTGGGTAATATGTACACAAATTTTGTATACAGACGTAATCCAGTATTTACTCGTCGAGGAGTAATTATGGAGGGGGTAATTATTTGAGGGATGTTATTTATTATTGAGTAAATTGAGTATTTAATTTTAACCATTTTCTCTTCTTTCGAAATACTGTTAATTAATTCCCGGGCTTTGAAGAAGACAAAAAGTGAAAAAATTAAATAAATTAAAGGAGAACCAATAGCCAACATTGTGTTGTGTATAGTAAATATTTTTAAATCGTCTTTAAACTAGAAATAAATTGAAATTATATAAATTAATTAATTTAAAATTAACTAATTCCGTTCTAAAATCTTCATATCCAATTAAAGGATCGAAGAAAAATTCAAAATTTATTCCATTAAAAATATAAGGATGTCGGAATAAAAGCCAGTAAAGTCCATATAAATTACATAAAATAATCCAGATATAGACACGATTGTTGTGAAAAAATATTTTTGAAATTTTTGGAAATGCTATTTCGAGACAACGATTAATTCCCAAAATCTAAAGAAAAATTAAATAATTTTTTATAATGTAAAACCAAATCAGCAGAACATTCAGCAGCCCATAAATCTAAATTATAGGTATATTAACAAATATATTTTGATTATAAAATTTTGGGGAGTAATCCGAATGAAATTCTTGATCTAAGATATATCTAAAATATTACTCAGTAAAATATGACCCGAAAAAATAGTAAAATATAAACCGAAATTAATCGAAATTTCGTTTTTTTCGAGCTTTGAAGCACTCTACTCAGCAGAGCATTATAAAAATTATTTTGTATAGTCTTGCTGTCCCAAACCCGTTACGGACTTTCGAGATTCAGGTCTGCAGGGGATGTGTTTTCAATTAAGTCTTCAGTTATTCAAAATTAGCTCAATTGACACCCTAAAATCAACTTACATAAACAAAAACACCCAGCAATGTATGTAAAAATCGGGGAAGTACAGTAAACAACGCCGTTTAAACTAGAAATTCCAACTGCAAATGTTGGTATCCAAAGCATGCATAGATCCAAAATTGAAAGATAAATTAAAAGTTTATAACACGGATTTTTGTTTCTATTTTTGCAAAAAGAGTAAAGACAAGGAAAATATAAAGGCTTAAATTTTAAATTTAAAATAATTTTTTCCTAAATTCCCTACATAATATATAAATCCGAGTATTATACAAATAATTGCAGCTATTGGATATCTTCTTTTTTCAAATGGGATGACATCAACATTTATTCCCGTACAATTGTAAATTATGTCAAATTCATTGCGATTCCATAAAATATATTCAATTTTTTAATTAGTACTAAATTATAATTTTTAGTTAAAGAGACATATGTATGTATTGGGATTGTGTTAACAAAAATAGCTTTAAGCGTATCTACGTTGGTTCTAAAACACAAAAATTCTATTCTTCAATAGGACGTACTATCCAAGATCCAGTGCCCATAGGTCCTGAAGCCAGTAAATTAGCTGTTGCTACATTGAATTATCCCGATATTTCGACGCTGGTCTAGTCTATGCGTTCAATAAACTTTCATGCGTCCAAACAACAAAAAATTGAATTT